CCCCAAAACCCCAAAACCCCAAAACCCCTTACCATCTTTAATCCATCGAATCTTCTTAGGTAAAAATATTTTAAAATAAAATGGCTAAAGGCTTTCTTCCAAGAGTCTCTTCATATTTTACAAGCACACTAAAATCCTTTGACATGTACAACTCTCTTAACCTCTAGGTATCCTCACACAGTTAGTTTCACCTTCAAAGGCCAAGAGTAAGCTTCTCATCTCTTCAAGTTCTCACACATTCACCTTGATTTCCCTTATAGAGAATTCAAGACAATGATGGGAGGCTTCATCTCTTTTGTTATAAAGGTAGTAATCTTGTACTATACTTATGTGATGGTCAGACTGATGCTAGGTAAATTTAGAGGCATTGTATTGGAGTTTTAGACTATTTTTTGGTTTTAGAACGCAAATAATACCCAGAAGAATGTGAATTCAGTGGTGAAAGGTAACCAAGAGTGATGAGGGTGTAGATATTTTGAATGACCAAACTGCGTTTCACATGAAGTAAGTAGAGAGGTGATCGGAGTAGTGGAACGGACTTTTCGTTTGGTTTTCAGTTGTTGGTTGGAGACGAGGAGGGACTTGAGCTTGAAGGAAATGAATATTTCGAGGTAGAGATTATTAAAAATATCAAGTTAGGTAAGTACTCTACTTCAAAGATATTTTGGGTGTATATATTTGCTAATGGTATAGCTAATGGAGATTTGCAAGAAGAGGTTGTCCCCTTTGCTAAATGCGGAGATACATTATTTAAATACTACAATCAGACAGAGGTAAATATTTTATCATAAAATTAGGTGAATTTGTTAGGGATCAATGATTTCTATTGCCCCACTAAATCTGACTTCGTCATCCAAGGAAGCGCAATTTCAAATGATTTCTCAAATTTTGAATTAAGAGTAAAATACTGCACTGATGAATGGTTGACAGCTTGTCCCCCAGATTTAAATGAAAAGATCAACAATATGATGGTCAGAGTTCCATTTGTGAATAATTATTTCGACTTTGATGACTATAAAAATCCTGTGAAAACATATATTGATGATAGATTCGAACTGTATATGATTGACACTCTTTATCAACAACAGAACTCCTTTATTCAGTATTTTTATGTGTAATTCTTAGGGTGAATGAAGCTGAAGTTCAAGATAGCTACTTTGCATATCAGCCAGGAGGTAGTAACAAAGAGTTCTTTGAGATCGAAAGAGTTGATACAAAACTTATTTCAAGCCAGGTTCACCAAGGAGAACTTCTGAGTAAGAAACAGACTAATTTTTAGATTTAAAATTTGTAAAAGATGCTGCCTCTAAATCATACGAAAGAACTGTCTTTAGCTTCATGGAAGTCACTGGAAACATAGGAGGCCTATTCGAAATCCTTCAGATAGCTGGAGGCTTCATTGTCGGAATATTTTCAGGCAGACTCTTCACATTTTCTATGTTCAGTAGTTTATATCACGTCGATATGCCTTCAAATAATAAAGGTATATTATAATTAATACAGCTAATTTAGCAAAGAAAGTTAATGAAGAAACTAAAGTTAATTTCTATAAGGTAAATTGAAGATAAATCTATAGATACAGAAGACTAATCGCGAATGTAAGAACAAAACAATTTAGCCAGCCCATCCAGAATTTTAAACTATATTTTAATGATATAGGCACAGGAAGTTCGAATAACTTAGAAGAAGTAGCAACAGAAGCCCATAACAGAATGAGAAGTAGAGTTAGGTATGACTGGAAGCTGTCTGACTTTCTTGTCAACCTTTGTAGTTTGTTTTCATGCTGCTTTTGAAGATGTATTAAGAGACGTTATGAGCTGTTTGAAAAAGGTGAGAAGAAGTTCATAAAAGAGTTTGATGCAGTTTATTATGCTAGAAACATGAGGAACCTCAACACCTTGGTCACCTCCATGATGGATGATAGTGAGAAAGTAATGATCACGTACCAAAAGCAAAACGCTATCCCTGCTGAGAGTGATGAAACTAGTGAAAATCAGGATGAGAATTTTGATGATGTTCCAAAGATGTTCTCGAATAAGATGCTAAAGGAGAAGCATATTCAGAAAATTGATTTGTTTATGGTATGAAAGTGTGTAATTTAGAATTATAGAGAAAGTATTCAAAAGAAAAGTGGACTGAAAAAGACTTCAGACTTCTCAACGGGGTGTTTAATAAACAACAGTTAACAAGTAAAATCTGGAATTATCGCGTGTAGATCAGCAGATACAGAAGATAGAGATAGACCAAGATTCAGGTTGTAAGTGATATTGTGCTAATTCTTAGGGTATAATATACAACAACCTGAGGAGAGCAAAGATTATAGTAAAGTTGGAAATACAGACACAGAGTAGGTTCAATTAACACCCTTTAGGGAGAAAAAGTTAGCTGAAGGAAAGTGCAATTCACTCCTCAAACTACCAATAAGCCCTCATCCTCCAATATCCCTCGGAAACAGTAAAATCTAATAGCACCATAACCCATTTCAATAATATTCTTTACCCCTGGGGTTTTGGGGTTTTGGGGTTTTGGGGTTTTGGGG